CACCTGATTTCCACAGACACGCAGAACGTGCAGGATTCATATATTGTCTTTTCGCGGCTTACTATTCATAGACACTAGTCCATATCGCGTTTTGATTCAAGTATACTGACCTACTTTTGATTTATTCGTCCAAAATGTGGCATATTCCGTCCGCGTTAGGCTATAGGAATTCCGTTTTTATGACTGGATTCTAGGAACCAGTCTGTGTTTTCCGTATCGCGGATATTATAGGGCTGTATGTCTCAGAGTAGTCAGTGTAATTTGGGGAAAAAATCTATTAAATCTGTATGTAGATGTGTGTAAATATTCAAATGTAATCCCCTTTGGACCGATTTTAACTATTTGAAACGTACAGGCTGAAGTACGTTCCTGCCACCATGTGGTATTTCAGATACTGCTGTAGTCACGTAACACTACGACGACGACATTTCCCGCCATGCACTGGACACGTTGCCATAGCGCCACGTTGGTTTACCAACAAGCATGGCGCACAGCCCGTCCCGTGTCTTTGCTGCAGTTTCACCGAGTGCTGGTGATGTTTACCGAGACGAAAACGAATCGGTGTTTAACCGGGGCCGCAAGCAAGCACCCTTACACACTCAAAGCAACGCAAGAGTGGTTCAGATGACGGGCTGTGCGGAGTTATCGTGTCCTCCGGACCGCGCCACCGTTACCATCAGCGTCAAAAACAGTAAAGAACATGTTAACGACGTGACTAAGTCAAGTCAAGTCAAGTCTGCTTTATTGTCAATTCTTCCACATGTACAGCACATACACACAGATTGTTGTCACTGCACCACCTGGCCAGGCGGCTCACCTCGCTCCTGTAGTTTGTCTCATCTCTGTTGCTAATGAGACCCACTACAGTCGTGTCATCCGCAAACTTAATAAGGAGGTTGGAGTTGTGTGACGGTGTGCAGTCGTGGGTCAGCAGAGTAAAGAGGAGGGGGTTCAGCACACATCCTTGGGGGGCCCCAGTGTTCAGTGTGATGGTGCTGGATGTGTTGCTGCCGACCCGTACTGCCTGAGGTCTTCCAGTCAGAAAGTCCAATAGCCAGTTGCACAGCGAAGTGTTGAGCCCCAGCTGGACCAGTTTGTGAATGAACAGAACCAGACTAACAGCGTTACACGAAGACTGGAGTACATACTACAGACTGCGAGACAGCATGATGTCAAGGTGCTAAATAATTAAAATCTGTGTATTTCTAAAGAAAGAAAGAACAAACAATACTAATAGTTTCTTTCCAAACAGGAAGAAAACATCACTGTGACCAAGCATTTACAAAGAGAGGAAGAGCTCTTCCACATGCGAGCTGAGGTACGATGGATAGTTGTTGCATGCGTCCTATTTGACATTTTATAATATATTTGCTCTTTAATTATCCATTTTGTCTGTGCAGGTGCTTGTGGTGTTTTCAGACTTTGAGAAGATGCAACAAGCACGCTCAGTTTTGATTGAAAAACTCGACAAAAGCGTGTGTGTTGGTGACCCTTACTACAGTCACAGCGCTGAAAGTCTGAATTTGTTAAGGTAAACAATGCTTGAACAATGTCAGTCCTCATATAAACCTCCACTGTTTGCCTGAACATAGCTTTGTTACATGAAATTAATTAATAAGCCTGTTTGAAAGAATGTCAAAACATTTTTATGATCTATTCTGCAGACGGCGAGTATGTTTGGAAGCTGTGGACAATGCCCGGCTAAAAGCCAGCGAGGCATGTTGCATTCTGGGACAAGCTCTGGGACGGCCGCTGCTTGTACGTGAGGAGGAATCACGAGAGTGGACCAGCGGCCAGCATGAAGTGACTGACTCTCCTCCAACACTACATCAGAAGACTGGGGTTACATTAGTCTCTACCTCTTCACGTGTATTTGTGGCCTTTGAATTGCGACCGAAGGACAGCAACAGGAGGAAATGAGTTAAAGTTTCTGTTTAGCAATAATCATAGTACATGTTATTTCATTTATTTGCTGTTTTAACCTGTAAACACATAGTCCTGTTAAGTGAGCACCATAGATATTCACAACAGGGCCTAAAAATAAAGATACCACTTGTTCCTACTGGTGTTTTAACTTAATAAAATCTCCAAATTCCAGAATATATTGAATAGCACTGTGTGAAACTCAAAAGATAATGCTAAAATTTGTTCCAAACATTGATAGAAATCAAGGCTAAATTCTCAAAGTTTAACGAATGTGTTAGATGAGCCTGTGTTTGAATAGGGAATACATGTACTGTATATTGTTGCATGAATGTGTCTTGACTTGCACACATTCATTTCTGACAACAGCATATGGGTTACACATGTGCTAGATAACTAGAAAGATCTTACTCACTGCCTCTAACATGATTTGTCTTTAAAGTTAAACTTGCACTGGATTTCGGGGGGAAAGTAAAATAGTGTGAAATAAGCTACTTGTTTCTGTGATGCTCTACCCATCTTTATATTCTCTTATACTTGCTTTGTCAGATGATCTAGCTTCATGGTACTAAACAAGACATTCATACCCTGCCTCCTTTAATATATAAAGGTGAGTGTTTACCACCTGCCCTGGTAATAGATGTCAATTCTTGCATGACCTACAAACAGATTCATTTAGGCTTTGTGAAAATCTATTAGGAGGAAGTGATAGGAAAAACACTGTAGGGTTTGACACAGTAACTATTAACTTTTCTTGATAGATGAGGAAATAAGCTAAAAGCAAAGAGGACTGTATAGAGAGAAGAGCCTGCAGATTGTAAACAATAATAGCGCGAAGGGAACATAAAGATACAGTCAGGGGCCAGTACCATGAAGATGGATTAGCTGGCTAGCCAGGTAAATTTCGGTTTAGTTTGCACCAATCCTGGGTTTTAGGTACCATGAAAGTGGCTTGGCTTTTAGCAGCATTCATTGCCTTAGTAACTTACGCTCCACGCTAACCTGCTCTGGGGCAGGTTATGTTCTGGTTTAGAGATCTCAAACCCAAATTTGACCAATCAGCTTCAAGCAAAGTGACGCATCTCTGACGCAATAAAGCCACTCCCCAAGTTACTCCAAATTAAAGGACGCTACATAGTAAAACATTTTTAAAGATAATATTGTCTGATTTTTAGAGATGATTATTTTTTATAATTATATAATTATTATACCCTTAATCCATTACACAAGCTAGCTTAGTTTATTTTAAATTTATATAAACATAGATAATATGCAATATAAATAAGTTTTAGAATCAATAGCTTTAAACATGACTACATATGAGCTTAGATTTAAGTGTTTTTATACCTATAAATGTTATCAACTCTATAAACTAACTTTTACATGTTTTCTTTAAGTTTTCCTTTTTCATGGATAGATCTTTTCATCTTGTATATGTGTTTAGATTCTTCATATTGTTGAATATTTTAATCTTTGGTAGTGAATTGCACTGGCTCTCTTGCCAGAAGTGAATCACAGTTTCAAGGCATGTGATTGGCTGTTCATTACTGATGTCACTCTTTCATGTGCACGTGCTTCATTAACTCAGGATCAAGCCTGAGTTGACAGAGAAAGTTGATGATCAGCTTCATGGTACCAAAAAAGCCAGATTGGACTGGTTTGGTTTTGTCAACTCAAAACTAATCCTGTAACCCTGAGTTTGTTCAGCCACCATCATGGTACAGGCCCCAGGTCTCAGGTCTGATTTGGATTAAGCTAAGAAACAGGCCGTCAAACTGGATGTCTAAGTAAACTTGATTATTTTTGCCTAAAGGACAGCAAGCAATCAATAAAACCCCACAATGGGCAGTAAAAGACCAAAAACACAGTCACAAAACAAGGATCATAATCATGACTAAAAGCATCCCTGAATAGACGATAGGCTTGAGTGAAACGAAAAGCCCAACGACGCCTACAAATATGCAGTTTCTGCGCTACTAGAGTCATCTAACGGAACTACAAAAATAAACAACATTGCAAACACTTTCACGCTTCATGCCTTCCCCAGATCAGACATCACAAACACAGCTCTAACAGGTCTATAAAAGTGAAGATATGTCTCAAAAGGTATAAGTAGGCTACATTCAATAAAAGGTCCAACATATTAGGAATACTTTTAACGTGAAGTTTAGCTTACCTGTCGAGAAGAAACTCTGCAAGCTCCTCTACCGGCTGACACCCAAACATTCCATCAAATTCCTCCATCTTGTAAAACCACTGCCAATGTTTACACGTGTTTTACTCTGTTTACTTCTTTTCTAACAATGTGTATTGTGGTAAGGTTTCAAAATTTGTTGCACTTGCTAATGACCGCACTATAACCGACTGAACACCCTTTGGCTCAACCTGCTACTGTAGCCACGCCCCAAACTCTCGCTATTGGCTGAGCAGAGATACATAGGTTGACAGGCAGGTAGGACATCCTATCATTGGACGAACATTTTATGGCGAGATCTCCACAGAAGCAAAGCGAAATATTGACGAGAAGGGTGTTCCTGCACAACCGGAGGCTGCAGTTTCAGGACCGCATTTCTGGGACCCTGGTGGTTTAGTTTGTAGTAATGTTTGTACATGTTGTTAAAGATATTCACTGTTGGGTTAACAGAAATATCAGTAACAAGAGGTGCACTGGGTATTGTGCAAAAATTATTCATATTCTACTCTGACCTGTAATGATAATCCGGACCAGAAAGGAAGACCTGCTCAGCCTCCTGCAATGAGAAATTCCGGAGGACAGCCAGGGCATATATGATGGCCTATGAAAAAACAGTTAATTTAAGTATACTATTATAGCACTACTGAACAGCAAGCCATTATACATTGGTCCATACACGAGTAGCACCAGCATGCAGTTTATACAGTAGATTTTGTAAGTGCAGGAGCAGGACACTCACAAACACATTACATGGTCCGGCATACCTCTGCACTTCATCTGTGAAGCTCAGTTGTGTTGGTGTCCTATGCAGCACTCCTCTCAGATCGGCAAACAGGACAGTTGTTCCTCACTGTCGAGGTAGACAGGCACTCGGGAGGAGGTTAGCTTATCAGACCACTTAGAGGGCTTCCCGTTGAGTACACCCTATAGGCAAACCATGGTGCAAAAACAGTTATTTTGAGGAAATTGATACATTTAAGATACAGATGCAATAATTTGCAGCATAGTTAAAAGATATTGTTAATGTTATTCCTAATTAAGGCCCTTGGTGAACCTTTACTATGAGTTTGTCCTGAAACTGCAGCCTCCGGTTGTGCAGGAACATACTATTGATATTGACAACCACCTGCTGTTAATGAACATTTTAATAAGAGTTTGAAAACAACACACGACCATAACGACTACCACACTATTTTCATGACTGCTATTTGTGGTTCATCACTCCAAAAAAACCTCATGCTCGAAGGAAAAAAACACGCCACATACCTGCATGTGCCGAACACGTGACGATGACCTAGATCTCATCTTCCTGTGACATGTTCATTCACTTAAACATGTCAGATTTTTGTATGAATGGGCTTGTTTTAGATGCGCCTTGCCTAGCCTGAAATGAAGGCGAGAGTAGGCGGCTGCATTGAGGGGAGGAGTGAAATAAGCGCAGTCAAGACGGACAGTTCTGACCTCTCGAAGTGGAGCAGATACCAACAAGATCAAAGGCGGATATCGGGTTATTCACACTTACATGCTGTGTTGCTAATAAACATGATATAATTTCAGTTCTGTTGCTTTTATATGAAAATAAATATGATGAACAAGACACTCAAAGTGCTTGCTATTTAATTCTATACGAAAGGTGTATTTATCATCCATTTTTACTTTAATACAAACATGTATTTTATATTTTTATAGAAATATGACAACAATCACATTATCTCACACAGAGATCGCACTGTCATCGTGTTTGGGAACATTCATGCATAATTGAAATACATAATTACATGAAATCAGATAAAAAAAATTAAATATTTTAGAAGAGAACCGCAGCATCACGGTTGTCTGAACCAATGAGCATTGAGCTGTGTCATCAGTCAGTCGTTTCCCATCATGCTTTTGATCAGCGCAGTCGGTGGAGAGCAACTGCGCTCGACTGCACAATCCGACACAGCCGCCTCGCCGTCACGAGAGCTTTTTGGCACACGTCAGCATGACATCAGAGCAAGTCGGACGTAAGGACACTTTTCTAACCGGCATGCATCTCGCGGAGTATGGCAAGCCGTTTTAGCATTAGATTTTGCTCATCTCAAACAAGCCTATTATGTGTTTTTGGAGGACCAACGTGTACTCGGCGGTTCCCAATGCATTATGGGAATGGCACATAGAATGATGACTTTTAAGAAGGAAAAACACAACATTTCAAGTAGGCCTATTTCAAATAAATTAAACTTTAATAAGAATACGTTTGTATCAATGGCTTTACTTTGAACACTGTTTACCACATTCTCAATACTGTTTTAAACAACAAATCCTTCTATTTTTCGCATGTAAATAAATATGCTATATGGTATTAACAGAAAGTTAAAGTAATTCATTTTCTGGAACCCATCTGAGTCAGATCAACGTGTGTATTTTGACCTAAGGGCATTTTGAAACATTTCATTTAATCTATAATTGACCTTTAACATCACAGTCAATTTTCTTCATAACTTTATCCCTTGCAAAGTCTGCAAGTCATTCATCATTTTAAGAATATAAAAAAGGAATACTAAAAATTGCTTTTTGTGTTTTTTTTTAGTTCTGCCCTGAGAAAGCCGCTTAACATATATTTACATATATTCCACAAGACTAAGTTTAATAACTGAAATTACTCAGTCTATATTTATATGGGGTATGTAAACAAGATATCTCTCTCAAATTGTCTTGCTTCCTTTTGTCTTTGTGTTTTTCAATTGCTTTAAAAGAATCAATACTGTCAATGAAGGGTAGCAGACATCATGTCTGTGTTCTCAAGCATTTCAAAGTGTTTTTAAAACCACTCAGGTTTACACTCCTTCAGTCGTCAGGATAGATTTCTTGCAACCATTCCTCCATCACAAACTTTTCCCCATCGAAGTGTGAAAAATAGTGCTGTAGAGTAGGAATGTCCGGCTGTAGCACAAGACAGACACAGATACTGATTAAGATGGAATCTAAACAACCTTAAGAAACTACCAAGAAAACACAAAAGTTATAAGAAGGAAATAAAGGTAAAAGATTTCTCTGTACCTGAAAGCCTTGAAAGAGCTTGATATTATACTGGGGAATGTATCCAATCAGTATTGATGAGGAATCGGGTCCACTGAACATAATTCTGTAATGAGGAGTGTCCTTGGCTCTCTCCAGCTACACACAAATACACCTTTTTAATGGACTGCTGTTATATTTCTGTGGTTTCAGGTTTATTGTCAGGTCATCATTTACACTCTTAAAATTAAAGGTTCTTTATTGGCATTGATGGTTCTGTGAAGAACCTTTAACATCCACCTTTTGAATGCACAAAATAGAGTTGGGGTACTTGGACCTGGACTCAGATTCAGACTTGGACTCCACTCCGGTGGACTAGGACTCTGACTTGTACTTGGGCATTTTGGACACAGAACTTTTTCAGAGTACAGATTATTCCACGTCATGTATAACGTGAAAGATAAAAAAATAAGTAACAACATAAAATTAAGATAAAGACATTAATAAACGTCTTCCACTCAAACTCAATTGGCTAAAGACAAGGACTCGGACCAAAGGTGGACTCAGACTCAGTTCTTTATAGTGGTTCTTTAGTTTATTTAAATGCTTTTCACACTAAGAAAAGTTCTTTTAAGAACTGATCACTGAAAGGTTTTTTGGGGAACCCAAAATTGGTTCTTCAATGGCTTATCACTTTGAAAATCCACTTTTGGAACCTTTATTTTTATTTCATTTAAATTAAAATAGTTTTTATGTACTTTACAAACCTCTGAGTATTTCATTCTCTTGATCCACTCTGGTGGGGCTCTGAGTTCTGCATCCCATCCTACAATCACCCCCACCATATTATTCTGTGTCATCACAACTTGACCTACACGGTGCAGCACGTATGCCGGCCTGGGGCTTCGCACCTCCTTTGACACTGAACAACAATAATCTGTCATGTTCGGTTGCTTGTATTTTTACACATAATACACATTCATATCCCAGATAAAAACAAAGTAAGTTTTAATGCCAGATTATATAAATATATACACTATCTAAATGACTGCTTTCATTTGAGATAATTCAGACAAATTACCTGCAAAGTACCCATGCTCATTGTCATGCATCATCAACTCAATTGCAAGCGCTTCTTCCAGAGTTTGATACTCCTCTTCCTCTGCGAAGGTCCTGTAACATGACATGACATCCCACTTCAGCATCGGAGTAAATAAGAATTCATTTAAAAAGATAATTAGCATTAGACTTACGGTAGTTTGGGAATCCAGGCATTTAGCCAGTCAACCCAAGCAGCTGTGTTCAAGTAGGATTTTCTTATGGAGTCCCATGAGTCGAGGATTCTGAATACGAAAGATGTAATGGAATATTTCAAGCAGTGACAACAGCACCATACAGTGTCACATGTTTAACTTTTTTTTGTTTTTCTGTTGGAAATATTTCTTTATATTAAACTTCCTAATTGAGAAGCACAGTACCAGAGTGCTAAAGAAGCTGATTAAAAATGCCTAACCACCGAACCTGAAATACAGTGTCTAAGAATTTTTTAAATAAAAATTAAGATTTTAGGCAAACATTTTATGAATGTACACTACCGTTCAAAAGTGTGGGGTCAGAAGATTTTTTGATGTTTTTGACAGATGTCTTTATGCTCACCAATGCTGCATTTAAAATACTGTAAAACAGTAATACTGTGGACTACAGTTTAAAATAAATGGTTTCCATTTTAAAACATTTTAAAATGTAAGTAATTACTGTGATGCCAAAGCTGAATTTTCAGCAGTAATTTCTCCAGTCTTTAGTGTCACATGATCCTTCAGAAATCATTCTAATATGACCAGGGCCGGATTTACCTCTTTTCGTGACAGGCAAAACTAATTTTTGGGCCCCCCTTCCCTATTAATATGTTAGGCCTAATATTACCACCCAAGCAAACAAAAACATTTCTTAATCAGTGCAAACCGTTACAGTGTTTTCTATCGCAATAAGCGCTTGCGTTCAGTCAATAAAAATCGAATGTAGTTCTTCATTTGTTTGAGAACTGAGAAAGACCATTCCAATAATAGGCGCGCGACGTGGCCACATAACCACTTCGGGAGTGCATTATTTCTCTAATAATTTTAACGGCCTGGAGTCACAACCACACATCAAGACTGTTCAGATGATTTGTTTCAAGACATTTGACATGTTTCCGTCCTAAATCTCGTGTGTTTTACGCACCTCATCCCAAACCTTCCGTTGCAAATTCCAAAACGTAATTTTAGAGCTAATAACGGAGGCTTGAGGTCTGTTTGTATCTCAGCAGCGTTCAGCAGCAGCCTCTACTAATAGAGGATCTTTAAGTTTAACTGCTTCAAGAACCTTGCAACTGAGAAATGTCATGTAGCTTTTCAGCTGCGAAACAATTTTACTGATAAATTCGCGGGGCAGCGCTGACAAGAAGTTTTTGTTTGCGTCTCCGCGTGTGTGCGTCTGTGAGAGAGACTGGGAGAAAGAAAGCGTGATTTCCGTAGCCTACATAAAAAAGGTGGAAGACATGGAAATAGTTTGTCATTTTTACCCTATTGTTTGTTATATTTATTTGCTCAATGTCTTCTGGGGTTTTGGTTCTTTTACTGTTGTAGATAGCCCATAGTAGGCCTAGGCTATAACAAAAATATTATATATCTCTTCATTGTGTTTGGGCCCACCTGGACAAGCGAACATAGGCACGTGCCTAGAATGCCTATGCGTAAATCCGGCCCTGAATATGACGATTTGCTGCTCAAAAAACATTATCTAGCTATTACTATCAAAGTCTAAAACAGCTATGTTGATTAATATTTTGTGTAAATCATGATAGGCTACATTTTTACAGGATTCTTTGATGAACTGAAAGTTAAAAAGAAATGAAATTATTGTTACT